AAAACAATAATAGATTTCTAGTGTTCACTGGACTAAACTATTTTTTAAATCCAATGCCTTATAACTAATTCATTTTTAGTCTTTACTTACGTTAGTTGCTCTTTGAATTCTCTTCTAGACTTGGTCTACACCCTTTTAAAATATGGACAATCCGAATTTAAAACAGCACATTAAGATACATAAAGAACACATTGCCTTAATTTAAAAGGAAACGTTTCTAGACTATACTGTATTTAATACGAGACTGTGGGCATGTGTGTATGTGGTGTGTATGCACACATGCACACACGGTGTTTCAAACAATGAAAGGAAACTTACTAAACTTTCTCTATTTCCCATTTCACACAGGACAACCTCAAGCAGAGGGGAGTTAAACTTCAGAGCCAGGTATCCGAGCTTTGAAGAAACACACCCATGATCAGTTATACAAAATATGACAAATTTAGTTTCAAAAGATGCATTCCCTCAGTATGAAGACTCAGCTATGATAAAATGTTCTCTGTGCCCAACCATAACAATAAAAACTACATTTCTCATTAGACATTTACTGAGTTGCCAGATCTCTGCAGAATCCTGCAGGAGGCTCAGCAGAGAAGTCCAAAGGGTCTATCAGGAAGATATGACAATAAAGCAAGGTACTAAAGGTCAAGCCTGGGTTAGGCCCTTTCTTGGTTGCAATGACATAGCTGCACCCCTCACACCCAAATAGTTACAACCCAAGCCTCAGAAAATGCTGCAGAGGCCTCACCAGGAGGCTGAGAGAACCACTTCCTCAGCTTGGGTGGTTCCAGACAGTCCTGGAATTCAAATTACTTATGTGGCAAACTTACAGTTTATCACAACACCAACTAGGATATTTCCACAATCACAGGATTTTACTGAAATTTAACCAAGTGGAATATTTTGGTTTTTCTTTTGACACTAGCATTGCCGTTTAACCTCTGGAAACCACACTGGGAGGATAACACCACACTATCTTCTGTTGGCTTTTGCTGCCAGTTACTCTCACTAGAATAAACAAAACTACCTACTTTTGACTATTTTTAAAAAGATCTCTTCTGCTTCATACAAGCAATAACCTACATTTTTAAGTCTTAAAAGAGATCGTGTTAAAGGCAATATCCAGGCTGCATATGTTGTTCCTTTGATGTGTTTCCAAGTGTAAAGTTTGAGAAAAAGCCCAAACTACCTGAACTCTTTCAGGGAAACCATGATTGGTTAAAATAAAACTTAAAATACCTAGTACAATGATTTTACTCCCACCTTGACCTTAATAAGTGGCAGAACAAACTATTTTTGTCTGCCCAAAAAGAAAAAATAAATTTAAAGCTATCCCTCCCACTTCACCTTGCTTTTACCAAACATTTGATAAGATTTCCATCACGATTACCTTGTGATTAAAATGGTGAAATATGACTTAGAGGTTTTTTTTTTTTTCCTGAGGAAGATTAGCCCTGAGCTAACATCCGCTGCCAATCCTCCTTTCGTGCTGAGGGTGACAGACCCTGAGCTATCATCCGTGCCCATCTTCCTCTAGTTTATATGTGGGATGCCTGCCACAGCATAGCTTGATGAGCGGCGCCATGTCCACACCCGGGATCTGAACCAGCAAACCCCAGGCTTCCAAAGCAGAACGTGCACACTTAACTGCTGTGCCACCGGGCCAGCCGGGCCCCAAAGTAATGTATCTACAATAGTTAGGCTTCGATTATAGTTTTAACTAGTCGTGGAAGCTCCCACACCTGCAAATAATGGAGGTGACTTCGGTGCTACCTGGGTGAGAGAGAACCTACGGGTTTTGAAGTGAAAAAATAGAGGTTGAGACAAGCAAAACCAGAACAGTAAAGAAAACCTCAGGAAAGAAAACAGAACAAAGGGAAAAAATGTCTTAGTACTCCTTCCTCTCCCCACGGCAGGACCTGAAACTCATGCTGTTCACTCCCTTCAGGACATGGATCCTAACTCCAAGATGCAACTTTCTTAACTGACCAGATTTATTTCTGAAGCATTTCATGACGACACATGAACTTGCATTTAAGTGTCAATCTAAAACATGTTAAGTCCATCTTGACACACAGGATATTAGTTGTCACCCTTTTTCTAGAATTGTCCATTTCAGGAATTGAGATTACTACAGCCAAGAATAGCTTGCTTGGCACGAGCTCAGTGCTAACCTCAGCAGAAAAGGTTACCAAGGTAAATAAGTTTTAAGAAAAACAAAATCCAGAGCCCTGGTAAGTCTTCAGGATTTTTATACCCCATACTGAAAACCACCATTTATACAGTCAACAACAGCCTTTATAGTACAGAACTAGAACTCAAATAACCAGATGAATACCCACCCACATTTCTGAGAAAATTGTTTCTACCCTCCCAATCTTGCAACATCAAACCTCAAATTTAACCTACTTTAGCAATTCATCATTATTGACACTTTCTTACAGAATTTGTAAGTTGTGGTCAACTTACATTTTTTATTCTAAATAAATATTCTAAAAATACCAAATATTTTAAAAACAAAGTGATTTTACTTGTTTCTGGGGCCTTCAGGGAAGTCAGCAGTTTCAACATCTGTAAACAATCCAGTCAGAGCCAGGCCTATTTAAAAATCAAGATCTCTGGTTGAATACCTTTGGACCCACCACAGTAAGATATAAATGGTAAATCACTAAAATCCCAAGTTTCAAATGTTGTCGTCAAAGTAACGTTGGCAGATAACCCAACGCTAATATTCTGCCCTGTTCACAGAAGTCAACGTTTTTCACGGACAAAGAAATGAGACTGGGTTGAATGATGGTGGTAGTTCAGAAGAGTCTCACTAGACTACGTTCTTGACGCAGATAGCTGCGCTCTTGACACATCCAGATCTGGAAGGTAAATTATCAATAGGATTAACTATGGGAAGGGCATAAAATAATTGACTTCTGATGTGGCCAAAACCCAGTTACTCTGGACTATTTTGGGCACAGTATGAGTAATCAAAATAGTTTAAGAAAATCAGATATGCCTTACTGACAGTCTGTTTAATTCCTGAGCCAGAGTGCCTTTCCCATTTCCTTTCAAATTCTGAAATCACACCTGAATTCCTCAGGACAAATTTCAACAAGACCCCATCTGAGATTCTTAACAAACAGGTAATTCAACAGCTGGCCAATTTAAAATATGGCTTAACGTCAAGCACCAGTCTGATATTCTAGTTTTATAAATCCACTGTAAAATATTTGGCTTTTTTAACCAACTCAAATGCAAGGAAATGCTATCAGTGTGGAAAACTCACTGGAGAAGAGATGAAACACTACTTTTTTAATCCAGAATTTAGAAATTTGTTTAAAACCAATTTACACAGACCACCAGCAGGTGGTGCTCGAACCAGTTGTCTCAAGTGTCCAGGTACCGTGTCCTACGGAAAGCCTATTACACTGAACCTTCCCTGTGTTCTTGTTCGGATGGCTTTCCTTTCTATTTTTCTATATGGTGGTAGTGATTTTCTGCAGTTCAATCCTTTTGTGGGGGTGGAACAATCTCTTCTAGCAGTTTTATAGCTTTGGCAGATTTACTTTTATATCACGTACCATTTACTGATCAGCTGTCCTTAAGAACCCTATCTTGTCTAATCATCACAAGCAAAAAAGCACCATACTTGTAAACACCATCCAATAGGTGCTTCATGGAGCTGTGAATAAATTTCTAGTCATGACGTAATGCCTCAGGTGGTACTGTTAAATGAGCATTTTACCTAGTTTAGCATTGAGATGAGAGCACTTTCAAATGGCAGTCAATCATTCCACGGCATTTTAGGGCTACATTCCACTTACCATGACTTTGCCTCCCAGAATCCAAGATGCCCTGCTACTCTGCCATGCTTTCAGGTGTATTAAAAACGTTCCTTTCATATGCAAAGAAAGCCTACTTAGGTTATCAAATACCATCACACAGAATTACCATTAATTTCTCAGATTCATGCCATGTTTTTCAAATGCATGTGTTCCCAGAGACCAACTATCAAACACCAATCACTATCAACTTACAACCCTTTGTGACCAATCACTGCATGTAATCTACAAGTTACCAAATTAGACCTGTAAATTCTAGTGGGATATTCACTTCCATCCTATCCAACTCTCAAATTTTTAACTTCAAATTATAATCTTCCAGTATGTCATCAGGTAACGGCACTTTTGAAAATTTCCTTAAAAAGTTTACCCCACAGTCCATCCAGTCCCAAATGGGCTCCACCCTTCACTTAGGCTAAATATTTCTCACTGTACCTCTATGAACTTGGCATCCTCTCCAGTGTGACAATGTTCCCTCTTCACCCGAACTTGTTCTTTAGATGAAAATTCCTATTGGAAGTGAATTTTCCTCACTAAAGTGACAGGCAACACTCAATTTAGTGTCTTTTTCTGCCTAGAGTCTGGACAGTTAACTCTAGCAGAGCAGTTCTGAGTTACTTAAGCCTTACACTTTACATTTGTTAAAACTTCAGTATTTGTAAATATGAAGCTAATTCCAGTAAGTGCAGAAACAAATGACCTATTAAGTTTACTCAACATTGATATAAGTGGACAAAGTTTTATATGCAACACAACTTTGGTACTGGAAAATCTCTTATCAACTAGCTTACACATCAACAAAATTAAGTGTTCTTCTGTCCTGAATGAAATGTTGCACTAACAGACCCCATCTCACAGGTTTTCACTATGTACATCAACAGATGCTTCTTCCACTCAAGGTGAAAAAACTCCAGGGTTGCCGCCCCAAACAAATTAAACCAAATTATCCAATTCTGCAGTTTCAGCAAATGCAACATCAGAAATGGGTCAGGGGTAACTCCTACTGAAGTTTTCTATCTAGGTGAGTTCTGTAGCACCTTCCAGTGTTGCCCAAAAGAAGACACAGGTTTCTCATTAAACTTTGTTTTAATGGGTCTCAAAATTCTGTGACAGATTTTTGGTCAAGTTGTTTCCATTAAAAAGTACTGATTTTAAAAACTAATAACTTAAAACTGCCACACAAAAAACCAAATGGTCCACAAAACATTCTCCTTTCCTTCTGAAGGTTTTACGATGCATTGTTATCATTAACCAGTCTTTTACTATTAAACTTAAATGGCCAATTAAGACAAAAAGTTCTGAGACCGTTCCACCACTGATTAAGACTGGGGTGGCAGGTATTGGGGATACTATTCATTTAGCCTTCTGAGCCTTCTGGGCAGACTTGGTGACCTTGCCAGCTCCAGCTGCTTTCTTGTCCACTGCTTTGATGACACCCACAGCAACCGTCTGTCTCATGTCACGAACAGCAAAACGGCCTATTAAAACAAATTTTGTATTACTGTTAGAAACACTTGGTAAACAAAACCAATTATTTTACAGCTTTAATAAACTTTCCAATTGCGCTGAATAGTCAGTCATCCTTACCCAGAGGAGGATAGTCAGAAAAGCTCTCAACACACATGGGCTTGCCAGGAACCATATCAACGATGGCAGCATCACCAGATTTCAAGAATTTGGGGCCATCTTCCAGCTTCTTTCCAGAACGACGATCAATCTTCTCCTTCAGCTCAGCAAACTTGCAAGCAATGTGAGCTGTGTGACAATCCAGCACAGGTGCATACCCAGCACTGATTTGGCCTGGATGGTTCAGGATAATCACCTTGGAGAACAGATTTGCATTTAAGTGAGTCTCAAGTACACTTAAAGCTCCAGCATGAAATAAGAAAAGGTTCACTTTTAAGTGTTACCTGAGCTGTGAAGCCAGCTGCTTCCATTGGTGGATCATTTTTGCTGTCACCAGCCACATTGCCACGGCGAACATCTTTGACGGACACGTTCTTGACATTGAAGCCCACGTTGTCCCCAGGAAGAGCTTCGCTCAAAGCTTCATGATGCATTTCAACAGACTTTACTTCAGTTGTAACATTGACTGGAGCAAAGGTAACCACCATGCCAGGTTTCAAAACACCAGTCTCCACTCGGCCCACAGGGACAGTACCAATACCTAGTGTTCACAGCATACTGTCAAACATCTTATGCAAAGACAGAAGGCAGTGCAGCAACGCATGCAGGCACGTTGATAATAATGTTCAACTTACCACCAATTTTGTAGACGTCCTGGAGGGGCAGACGCAAGGGCTTATCAGTTGGACGAGTTGGTGGCAGGATGCAATCCAGAGCTTCAAGCAGCGTAGTTCCACTGGCATTGCCATCTTTACGGGTGACTTTCCATCCCTTGAACCAAGGCATCTGAAAACATAAGATTGCCCATTAGTGTTACCATCAAACTTGCCCCTGTTAAGAGCCCTTTTCCAACTGTCTTGAATGTCACTTACATTAGCACTTGGCTCCAGCATGTTGTCACCATTCCAACCAGAAATTGGCACAAATGCAACTGTGTCTGGGTTGTAACCAATTTTCTTAATGTAGGTGCTGACTTCCTTAACGATTTCCTCATATCTCTTCTGGCTGTAAGGTGGCTCAGTGGAATCCATTTTGTTAACACCAACAATTAGTTGTTTCACACCCAGTGTGTAAGCCAGAAGGGCATGCTCACGGGTCTGCCCATTCTTGGAGATACCTGCTTCAAATTCACCAACACCAGCAGCGACAATGAGGACAGCACAGTCAGCCTTTAAAAAACACAAGAGCATACCTCATTAAACAAAGCTCTTTAAAGAGGAACCATCGCGTTTTCCACTGTACTAAGACAAACCCACGGTTATTTCCAGTAATTATTAAACTACAAACCTGAGACGTGCCTGTAATCATGTTTTTGATGAAGTCTCTGTGTCCGGGGGCATCAATGATGGTCACATAATACTTGCTGGTCTCGAATTTCCACAGGGAGATATCAATGGTGATACCACGCTCACGTTCAGCTTTCAGTTTATCCAAGACCCAGGCATACTTGAAGGAGCCCTTTCCCATCTGCAGGGATTGGATTAGAAATGGTTACTTGGTAACTAAGACATGACCCAACTCCAGCTTGAAATTCCTCACCCCACTTACTTGGCAGAAAGGCTCGACTGACTGTACAATGGCAAAACCTAAACGGCCTTCCCTTATTCTCAAAACACGGTTACAAACCTACGTAATTCAACAGCCAATGTTCGATCACGTCCCTCCGACTAGCACGACATTCAGATCTCGACTAAAAGAACGAGCACTTCCTGAAAATTACCACTCAACGTGTTCGCTGCCAGACGTCTTATTCAAGCCTCTTCTTTCCACCTACCTCAGCAGCCTCCTTCTCGAATTTCTCGATGGTTCTTTTGTCGATCCCACCGCACTTGTAGATCAGGTGGCCAGTCGTGGTGGACTTGCCCGAATCGACGTGCCCAATGACGACGATGTTGATATGAGTCTTTTCCTTCCCCATTTTGGCTTAGATTTTGCGGTGGTTTTCACGACACCTAAATTCAGTGGAAAAACCACCTTTAAACCACCGCCCCACAAACTTGAAAAAAAGAAAAGCTACCATCCAAACTCAAAAAGAAAATTCCAGGGCGCGAGGCTGGGCCCCTCGCCGGGCGCCGGCTCGGCCGCGGCGGGAGCGCGAGCGCGAGCGGGCCCGGCGCGGCCCTTTGTGTGGCTCAGGCCGGCCGCAGCCTCCATTTTGAGCTCCGCCGGCGGGCCGAGCGGCCATCTTTCCGCGCACGCCGCTGGGGCGGCGCGGCCGGCGCGCGGGGGCGGCCCTCGCCGGGCGGGCTCCCTCTACCTCGGCCCCGCGCGCGGCCGACACGCGCCGCCCGACGACGGCCGCGGTGGCGTCTGCCCGCCGCCGCCAGGCCGCCCGGGCAGCCGCGGCGCTCTGGGGACTCGGCGGGCCGAAGGCCCCACCCGGCGCAGGGCGGGCCCACGCGGCGGCCGCGGGCGCAGGCCGGCCTCGCCCAGGCACGAGGCGGGGGCTGCCGCCGCGGCCGGGGCCTTGAGCCCCCACCGACGGCCCGCGCTGGAGCTGAGGAACCTCGGGGCGGCTCCGCGGCACGGCGGCCGGCACAGGCCCGCGAGGCCGGGCCCACCGGGGAGGCCGGGCCCGCAGGCCACGCCCGCACTCACCTGTGTTCTGGCGGCAAACCCGTTGCGAAAAAGAACGTTCAGGGTGACTACGGCACTTATATACGGTTCTCCCCGCCTCGGGGAGAGGGCGGGGCCAGCACACGACACGCTTTCCCAGCTTACCCCGCGCCGCCGGCCCCAGCGCCCTCGCCGGCCCCTCCCCCCACTTCTCGGGGACCGTGGGCGATGTGCGCTCAGCCCACTGAAGAGCGCTCGTCGTTTCGCGCATGCTCCTCTGGCCCCCGATGACGCCAAGAGCGAGCGGGTCGGGGGCGGGGACGCACGCGCCCTCGGTTCTAGGTTAGCGGGAGTTTAACGACGGTCCCTGGGATTCCCCAGGGCAGAGGCGAGTCCTTCTTTTGTATGAATTACTCTCTGCGCCAGCCGGGGGAGGGGCGGCGGGGACGGCCGGCGGGGGCTCCAGAACCTTCCGTGGGCCGTGCCTTGCTCGCCTGCGAAGGTGGTATCGGTATTGGGGCGTCCCTTCACCCTGCAGTACACCTCCTTTCCTCGGTGCCGCCCGCTCGAGGGTCCGGGACGGACGCCTCGAGCCGCTTCCTCCGCGCCGCCCGCCGCCCCTCCCGGCCGGAGGCGAGTGGGCCGGGGCCCCCAGCGGACCGGGGCCCCGAGTTCCCGGCCGGCCTCGTGGCCGCCGCTCCGAGGCCAATGCTTCTACCGAAGGCCGCGTCACGCGTTCGCCCCGTGTGGTGCGCCCGACGTCCAGAGTTTCCGTTCATAGCAGATCAGTCCTGCAGTTTGCTTTACTTCCAACTAGTTTTATTACAAAAGACACCCGGAGTGTGTGTGTCTACCCTGGTGGTGCATTTTTTCCAGCGTACACTCATTTGATTGCAAGCATGAGAAACCCAGAAAGAATTTTTCAAATTCAGTCTTTCCACATGATGTCATGTAGAGCCTGAAAGCTTCAGCATCAGCAAGCTTCTCCATCCGGTTTCCCGTCTCCAACACTTGCTGCGAAATCGCTGCTTCTCAAAAACGACCTATCCTATTCAAATAAATGGCTTCATTTTCGGTCCTATTGATTGTAACGGAATTTTAGCATAAATCTAGGGCGAAATCTGATGAGGCCTTTTTGGTTGACTATCAGGGCAGACTGAGAAATACTCCTCTGAAGAAATGAGAGCCTGTATTCTTAATGAGCTAATTACAAGATCGTGTCTCTTCTTCCACGTGTAGAACATCACTGCAACTTCTGGAGGCAATCTAACTATTTGAGAACCTACTAAGTGTCTAGTGCTAAAGCAAAGCTCCGTGGCATGTGCAAAAGAAATAATTCCTTTTGGAGAGGAACCCACAATCAAATTGGAAGAGGAAGACAAACAATTGGGAAGCAGTTATGGACAAACTTGTATGGTGCTTACTTTCTATTTCATTGTAGAATATATAGTTCTTTCAGTTCTCACACTCTAAATGCCTTTTTTTCTTTTTAAATGAAAGAAGTCTTCTGGAATAGCCTTCCTTTATCTCCTTTTACCACTCTTTGTAGATACCAATTTCTAAAAATCAGTTTTTTCCATTTCTTCATTAGGAAGTTTCTAGCCTTCTCATTTTAACTTTGAGATAGTTTCCATGAAAGTAACTATGCCACCATATAAAGTTTCCCTAGAAATACATATAACTAATGTTTTTCTAGCAACAAAAGTCTTTTCTGTAATGTTTATATTTCGATTTCTCTTTTTTCACAAATTCTTTTTTCACATTGCATTTTCCTAGTGCCCTTAGCCAATTATATACACGTATAATAAAATTATCTTGCTATGCTACTACATGTTTGTAATAAAGACGTAAGAGGTACCAATGAAAATCAATCCCTAGCAATAGACCAGTGCAAACACCCCTGCTCTGTTTCCTTAGAAATGCTGGTTAATGACTATTCTCTTTGGAGCTAGATTCCCACATGGGCCATATTTCTATATCGCCTTAATATTAACTGGACACTGTTACTACAGATTAAGATCAGGGTGCCAGACTTAGTATTTTTCTTGC